TTTCTAGTTGTATGCACTTATTCTACAACTTAATATAAAAATAAAATAAAAAGAATAAAAACATAAATTTAGAAGCAGACATTTAAACCTCTTTTCCCAGTTCTCTTATTTCTTCTCAAGTCGGCGATGAGGAGTTTGAAAATTGCGTCTCCGGCAGCTTCATCTGAGTCAGCTTCTGCTGTTCGCCGTTCAGAAATTGGTAAAATCATAAATGCAAAATCCCATGTGTTTCTTCTGATTGATTTCCTGTAATTTTTCCCTCTTTCAGTACTGTTCCCAACGCCAGCACTAGGTTTATGAAAGCCAAGACAAAGGAAGGAAAATATGAGTTTGATAAAATTGATGATGCTTTGACTTTGTTTAGTCGGTTGGTGGGTTCGTATCCTCATCCTCCTATAGTGGAATTTTGTTAATAGTTAAGTGCTGTTGTTAGAATGAAGAATTATGCAGTTTGTTTCCTTGTGTTAAAGGTGGAATTGGAGGGGATTAGACATAATGTTTTTAGTTTCAGCATCTTGATTAATTGCTTCTGTCGTTTGCATCTTGCGGATTTCGATTTCTCTCCTCTTGTGAAAATGTTAAAGCTTGGCGTTGAACCTAAGGTTGTAACACTTGGCACCCTTATCAAGGGGCTGTGTGTAGAACGGAACGTTGCTGAATCAGTTAAATCACTTGATGAAATGATTCAAAGTGGACATCGTCCTGATTTAATTACTTATGGCACAATAGTAAATGGTTTGCGCAAAATTGGGAAGACTAGTGAGGCTGTTGGGTTGCTAAGGAGGATGGGAGAATATGGTTTGCAGCATAACAGTATAGTATACAACATAGTCATTGACCGCCTTTGTAAGGATGGGGTTGTAACTGGGGCTGTAAACCTCTTATCTGAAATGATAGGTAAAGGCATCCTTCCTTCCGGATTCTTTCACTTACAGCTCGTTAATTCAAGTTATGTGTAAACCAGAAAAGTGGGAAGATGCTACGAATTTTTTGAATGAGATGATCCTTAACAAAATCAAACAAGATGTTGCCATTTATAATAATTTGGTATATACATATTTTAAAATGGGTATGTTTTCAGAGGTTCAAGGTGTAATTAAAGCAATGACTGGGGAGGGTGTTGAGCCTGACATTGTCACATATAATGCATTGTCATGTATAACGCATTGATGGAAGGATATTGTTTGTGTGGTGAAATGGATGAAGCAAGAAAAGTATTTGATTTGATAATTGGCAGAGGTTATGTGCCTACAGTAATTAGTTATATCATCATGATTATGGATATTGTAAAGCTAAAAGTATGGATGAGGCGATGAAGCTCTTTCATGAGATGTCTCATCTTCATAAATGATATGTGCCAGGTAGGAATGTTTTCAACTGCACATGGACTTCTTAAAGAGAGAGGTGCTTGTGGTCAAGTTCTAGACTCAAGAACTTATTTGATTTTGCTGGATGTCTTATGCAAAAAGGGTCTCATTCACGAGGCATTGAGACTATTTCAAGTGATGCAGAAGAATGGATTTCATTTTAATATCATCCATTGTAATGTCCTAATTGATGGTATGTGTGAGGCTGGATTGCTCAATATTGCGAGGGAATTCTTCGGTGGACTATCTTTGAAAGGCCCACAGCCCAGTGTCCACACATATACTATAATGATTAAAGGTCTTTGCAAAGCAGGATTACATGACAAAGCATTGGAACTGTTTCAGGCAATGCAGAACAAGAAGTTTCAACTTTATATCTTCCATTATAATGTCCTAATTGATGGTTTGTGCAAGACTGGACAGATCAAAATTGCAAGGGAATTCTTTGGTGGACTCTCTCTGAAAGGCCTACAGCCTAGTCTTCACACATATACTATAATGATTAACGGACTTTGCAAAGCAGGATTACCAAATGAAGCATTTGAGTTGTTCAGGAAAATGGAAGAGGATGGCTGCTTGCCTGATGGTTGTTCTTATAATACAATGATCCAGGGATTTCTTCAAAACAATGATATGTCAAGTGCAAGGCAACTTCTCAATCAAATGGTTTGTAATGGTTTTTTTCTCTCTTTTTTTTCCTTTTTTTGGAATTTGGCAGATAATGCTTAAGCTGATTGTTTAAGTAATTTGACCCAGGCCAATGAAAGAGCAGGGTCCACGCACTATTAACTGGTTTTCATCATTTCTTCTACTTTTGCAAGCTTGTGACGGTAAGCAGAAATCCTTGCAGAACAATTAAAGGCAATCATTTTGTCCCAACCATTAATTGCCAGTATCTGCAGTAGTCTGTACAATTGAAACGAAGGTAGATATCTCTTATATCTAAGCTGGGTTGAATATGTGAGATTGTTTCTGATATATATTAACCTTTTTAGTCTGTGATTTCTTGTTGACCTTTTGGTTTTGGAGTTGGATGGCCAAGCTTAAATACAAGAAGTAATTGTACTTATGAATTTGGAAAGAATGTTTATGGTAGCATCATAGTGTATTCAAAACTTCTTCTTGTCTTTTTTTTCTCCTTTTGTCTGGAAAATATTTCTTTTGTGTTTTAATTTTCATAAGGATACTTAGAATTCCAATGCTATTGGTTTATTCATCACTGGGACCTATCCTGGTTTGAGTAAAATTATTCAATCTAATTATCCTTTAAAAAAAAAAAAAAAACTTAAATTTCAAGAATGAATCAGACCTGAACGCTTGATAAGAAATGATAATTAGGCAAGTTGTCTTCTTCTTGTATGTGCAAAATCGTTGCCATTCTGTTAGTCATTTTTTTGGCCAACATTCTGTTAATCATTCATCCTTAAATATTAGTCATCACTTTGGCATGGGAGATGTTTGTTGAATATTTACATGGCAGCTTCTCTTCTTAAAATAGCTATAGTTTGTTGAATACTTGTGGCTTCCCAATGATTTGTGGCAACTGATTCCCCCATTAGCTTAGTAATTGATGCTTTCATGTATGTAGTTAAGTTCTATTTTTTCTTGAGATCCAGACGCCTTTGATGGAAATTGCACAAGCTTAGGACATAGGTGGTTATAGCTCTTAACTTTTTTCGCATGGAAGTAGAAGTAATTAAACCAGGATGATGCTTGTAGTCATGGACATTTTGATTTTACATGAATCCTAGTTCGATTGAGCTTTGTTATCAGTCTGTTGTATCAGAATCTCAAATCATTCATCATGTTTGTTTCATTGCTTTTTGCCTGCCTGAAAGGTGTTTTTCTTTTTTGGCTGAAGCCTGAAAGGTGTTTGAATGAAGCTTTCCTGAAGTAGGTGTCTCAGTCCAAATGTCAGCATGTGCAGGCCGGACTTCTTCCTATGTTATTTCAGCTCAGAATTTTCTTTTGAAAATCCTCATCCTTGAAGGATTTTCTACAATGATATTCTGTTTTGAAGCTGGATTATTTGGTTTGCTCCTTGTCCATTCACAAATCCCAAAGGGCACGAGACTTTTGTATTTCAGTTTTTTCTTTATTATCAAAAACATATATATCTGCTCTGCTTTATCATCTTGATTTTGGTGAAAGCAATTCCTCAATGGATATATTAATAATTTATTTAAGCAACTGAAGAAGATAAAAGAAGAAGGGTTATCCTAACAAGGAGATCTTGGACTTGTTTTTAGTGCCTGCAGGTGGAAGACCTTGGACTACACTTGAACTTCTTCCAAGTACATGGTTACTGATGGTCAAGTTCCACACTCTTATATTATTCGATTCTGATGGATGGCTCATGCAAATGTGGTGTCATTCATGAGGGTATTTTTTCTTTTTTAGACGTAGAGATACTTGAGTGTATGTATTGATTCTGAGGTTATACTTGAAACAAAATTTTGAGATGTAGTTATGAAGTCTGGGTGTAGGTTAATATCAAATTTTATGTTGGTTTGTTAAAATCAAAAAGTTTTGTGTGGTATATTGTATCAAATTGTATTTGTACAACTTAAACCATTTTTAATAGGTGGCTTCTTGATATTATAGGTCCATATTCAATAATTTTTGTTTTATAATTTAAATTGTAAAATATTTTTTTTATTAAAATTTTAATTTAATTTGATTATATTGTAAGGTTTTAATAAATGTGAATTGATTGATTATTTGATATTTATGTATTATTACAGGATTGGATAATGAAAAATCAAGACATTCTATCATTACAAAAATGAATGCAAAAATGAATACTTATAAGTATAACCATATTGGTAATATTATAATGGTTATAAAATCACATAGAAGTATAAATTTATAATCATGATGCAATAACAAATGATATAATATAATATTAAATAAATAAATACATATAACATGATTATAAATAAAAAAATTAATTATATGATAATATATTATATTCTAAATTTATAATATTACATAATATTATAATTATAATATTTCCTTAGTCATATAGCAAATTAGGTCTAAAAGTATTCACACTATTTTACACCTATTTTGCTGACCTTCTAATGCATCATACATTATGCTAGGGCAAAACTTTTTTTTTTTTTAAACAGTATACAATTTGGGGATGAAAAAAAGGGAGTTTTCAAAGCGGTGGTGGAATTCGAAATCCTGACCACCTTACCCAAACACTTTAAAACTTAGATCGAACCATTGAGCTTAAAATCTGAGTTCGCTAGGGCAAAATATGGAAACTCGGCGGCAATTGAAGGCAGGACACAGCGATCCATAAATGTTACAGTGTCACAGGAAATCACATCTTAACCGAAGAAACCGGTAACCCTTTTCCGTTAACAAAACCCCAAAAGTGTACACGTGGCTGCTTCCCGAAGTTCCATCCCAATCCCTCCCTCTCATTGTCTTTCTCCTTCCTCCGGTCGTCTCCTTCCTCTCCGCCGACGGATTTCCCCAAATCTCTCTTCTTCGAAACCCCCACTCGCTTCTACCCTTCCAGGTTTCCTTCCTCTCTCCGGACAATGACGTCCTCCCCTTCCACAACCTTCTCTGCTTCCTTCGCCAAAGTCGCCGGCAATTCGCGTCATTGCAGTAATCGTTCGCTCCCCAAGCTATCCTTCCGGCTCCCCCACAATCCACGACTTCGATTCTTCACCAAGGTAGTAGAATTCAAAGAAAATGATAGCTTTTTTAGAATTCTGTGGCGAAGAAGTATCAGTTGGAATACCATGATAATTATCTCCTTAATCTGTGTAAATTAGTGTGTGTTTTGAAAGAAATTTGAGTTACTATTTTGAATCTTAGGATTTTGCGTTTTAGTTTGTAGGATTATGATTCGTCATTTCTCTTGATCTTACTATGCAATGCGTCAATTGTTTTATACTGATGGAGTAAATTAGGAAGCATGTAGGATTTTGAAACCAAACAATGGATTTGTCATCTGCATTTGTAGGGTTTGCGTCGTAGTCGGAACAACTTCACTGTTGTAAAAGGCCAATTGAATGAGGTAAGCTGTTAGATATTGGGTTTCCCATTTTTGCTCCTTCCTGGACAAATTTTTGGATAATCTGTTGGTTTCAAGGGTGCTGTTGGTGGATCGTCAAATGCTGCAGCTAAACCTCAGGCGAAATCAACAGCACCATCAGATGAAGCAAAGGATCCTAAGTCATCTGGCGATGCACCTCCAGCTTTGGCGACAGAGGAATCTATCTCTGAGTTCTTGACTCAAGTTTCAAGCCTAGTCAAGTAAGCTATCCCAACATTTTAGTTCTTTTTCTAGTTTAGCTAAGCATTTATGGATGAGATTGTTTTTTTGTCCATGTTGTAGGCTAGTTGATTCAAGAGATATTGTCGAGTTGCAATTGAAACAACTTGACTGTGAACTACTAATACGGAAAAAAGAGGCTTTGCCCCAACCGCCATCTTCTGCTCCAGTTGTTATGATACATTCACCCTCTACACTGCCAGCAATGCCACCCACTCCAACAGCACCAGCTTCTGCACCTTCTGTGTCAGTTCCTTCTGCCACACCTCCTCCACCTCCCCCTTCTGCTGCCAAACCAGCAAAGTCATCACTTCCTCCTCTTAAGTGTCCCATGGCAGGCACATTTTATAGAAGTGCTGCACCTGGGGAACCACCTTTTGTCAAGGTGAAACATCTCCACATGGTGGTTTGATTGAAATCTAATGTGCTACTTTTTAGTTTATGCTGCCTCCTGGTCTTAGTTTTCTTTTGATATAAGGACTTTATCTACAGGTTGGAGATAAAGTACAGAAGGGACAGATCTTGTGCATCATTGAGGCAATGAAATTGATGAATGAAATAGAAGTAAGCATTTCTTTTTTCTTCCTTCTTTGTGAATAATAATTTTAGTTGACATATTTAGCCTTGTTAATGGTTTCTCTCCTGTAAAAAAAAAAAAAAAGAAAAGGAAGAAGAAGAAGAAGAAAAGTTTTTTAATTTAGAACCTCTATCCCCACAACCAAGAATAATGCTGATTAAGGGTTGGTTCTGTGCCTACAAGAAAAGGAAAAAGAAAAGGGATTTCAAATAGAATCATGAAGCTTATGAAACAACTACCTAGCATTACATCTCCATGCCATATCCAGTATCAGCTTATCATAAATCTTCTATACTATCATTTAATAGGTGTAATACTGTTTTGGCTGCATATGCTTTAGAAATAATTTGGAGGACTCTGTTCTAGGGATTCAAATACTTTAACTTCTTTCAAGGAATTTTAATTTGCTGTAGTATTCATAATGTGTTGCTGCATCACATTCATTCTATGTGCCCCACAGGGCTTCATAGATTAACCTATTTGATGTTTAGAACTAGTAGTTTATTTTCTTATGTAAACTAAATAAGAAATCTTACACAGTCCAAACAAATCATTGTATTCTATAGGGTTTGGAAGAAAAAGAAATTCTTTTCCCTTTTTCACGTTCTCAGTAGCCACGCTCATTAGTCATTCTGTAACATTTTCTTCTGATTTCTTGTTCCAAAACAACACTAGTAGAGCACCAAGCTTCATCAACAGGGTGGTGCTGTTTCCTTCATCAACAAAAAACAAAGCTCTCACTTTGCCATGTTTTCCCTCTCTTCAAGGACGTGTACCTTCGTGAAGGCATATTTGATTTAGAATAGTTATTTTCGAGACCTTGAAAAGTCAACCACAAACCAAATCTGGTTAAGGGTACTCACTATTTAATAAATCTAAAGATTCAAACTTCTGATAAAATATTGACCAAGCTTGAATCGTGATAAGCTACGTCAATCATCAGATTGAAGGCCACTTTAAAGGATCTAATCATTTTTCTGTAGGGATACAGCGACAATATGAAAAAGTCACTTGATGAAAGTCAGAAAAGAATGAGGGGAGTTTAAGGTAGCCAAGTTATACTTGGTTGGATTGGTTGAAAAGAGAATATTTAAGCATCTGGTGGGAGTACAGTTTTTAATATGCAGAATGGAAGGAAAAGATGCATGAAGTTGAAACCAACTTGATTTGTGGTTAGGACTTGGTTGAACTAGAGTTGTTCAAACATGTGGAGCTTTAGCTTATAACTGTTAAATTGGCTTCCAGAACTTGAGTGGTTGATGTGCTAAACTATTTTGCTCCCGCTTACCTATATTCTCCGCTAATTCCATGCAAAAGATAAGTAAATAAAAAAAAAGTTAAGAATTTGTTTCTGAGCATGTAACTATCACAGCACTCTGCATGTTAACCAACCCTGTTCCTAGACTATGTTTTATTGCATCTATGGTTTTGGAAACTGTCTTTTACGTAACTAATTGTGACATTTATGCAATCATTTTTTCAGGCTGATCGATCAGGAACGATAGTTGAGATCCTTGTAGAAGATACCAAACCTGTGAGCATTGATCAGCCACTGTTTGTGATTCAACCCTGAAGCTTAACCAGGGAGCAAGCAAGACCTAGGATCGAGTAAAAGAGCAGTAGGCAGGTGCAGCTGCAGTTGGTGATGTAGTGGTAATGTTGTGCGGCATTGTATTATTACGGTAGAATATTTTGCTTTAAGTGAGTTGGTAGAGGTAGAGAAAAGGCTGGTTATTGAAACGAATCATTACTTGCATTTTGGTACTTATTGCTGCAATTGAGAGTACTTAATCAATTTTTCTTATAATAAGTTTAGAAGAGAAAAGTGAAAATAAATAAGTTCGGGTATTTTCTATGAAACTGTTTAAATACTTTGAATAAATCTTTGGTACATGTTGATTTATTAGGGTTATTTAAATCTTTTTATTATCATTCTTGACACTTTTATTGTCAAGACTTCATGATTTTCTAAATCCCTAAGGAGACCTAGAATACCTAATAAATTATTTGGTTTTTGGTTTAAGCCAGATAAAGATTTTCACAAAATTTTAGTGGGAATCACCTTTTTATTTTTCTTTGCATAATTTATATTTTGTTTACATGCACATGCAATAATGGACCCGTACAATGGATCTTGTCTCTATTTAGGGGTTGTTGGAAACTTGGAATCAGAAGATATAAATTAAAATTTTTTTTTAAAAAAAAAGAAAAAAAATGATGTTATGCAAGTTAGACTGAATAATAGAAATTATTGGATGGGAGGCAGATTCTCTAATATTGAGCTTCATCTCTCCATTTAATAGTTCCTGTTTAGTTATTTTGTAATCTATTATGGTTTAAATCACAAAACAAAAAATTCTAAATTAAATTACCATAAATACCCTATGTTGAAGATATTCAATTAAAAAAGTTAAGAAGTCAAATTTTATTTATTTATTTATTTTTTGGCCGATGGTTTTGAATTCAGTCTTATAGTGTATGTCATTGGATGTGTGTGTATATATATATATATATATATATACACACCATAAAAAATCACTTTTTCACAACTAGCTTCCTAACTAGTTTACTAACCTTGTATAAAACGAAAATTCAGAAATTTCTTGTTAACATGAAAAATTAAAGAGTTACATATATATACCATAAAAAATAACTTTTTCACAGCTAGCTTCCTAACTAGTTTACTAACCTTGTATAAAAAGAAAATTCAGAAATTTCTTGTTAACATGAAAAATTAAAGAGTTATATATATATACCATAAAAAATTACTTTTTCACAGCTAGTTTCTTAACTAGTTTACTAACCTTGCATAAAAAGAAAATTCAGAAATTTCTTGTTAACATGAAAAATTAGAGAGTTTGAGTAAGGGAGAAAAGAGCACCAAAGAGCCCAGAATGCCAGTAAGGTGGGTAAAGAGGTGACCACCCTCCACTCATTCAGTCACGGGCTCT